CTATTTAGTGTGGTGATTGGGTTATAGACTCATCGCAATTTGCCGAGTATGATATTACCAGAATCAAACGATGATTGAAGCGCGACATTGCATGTATGTTTTGTTATGGCCAAAATCACGAGGGAATTTAGGGTCTTTGTGATAAACAGTTGAACTGATTACCAATTCTTAGGTTACATGATGGGGAAAACCTGAGGAGGTTGAGTTCGTTTTTGGGACAATTATTGTAATTGAAGCACTTCAACTAGTTCTGGACGAATTTTATGCATCGCTGCCTATACTAGGTTAGTACCTCTTTGGGAAATGACCAATTTTGATCTTTGCAAACAACCATTATGTGAACAGATTATGTATAAACTACAATTAAGAGAATATGTAGGAAGGCACTCTAAATAAGTGGATGTTTCAGATTAGTGTTATATCTATTAGGAATACCAAACAATTTCCCATGTGACTTTATAGGAAATGGTTCATTTCCAAATCTTTTCCAAATAACTTAAGTACATGGAAAGTATAAACGTGCATGTTGTGTTGAACCTAAGAATGGCGGAAGAGGACAAGAGGATATTCTAAATAACTATTGATTGCTTCAATGTGAGCCCATTGGGAAATCTGAATTATGTGTAAAACTTTTTATAATGCCCATTATCTTCCATATCAGTCTATGTACTATAAAACACACAACAAATCCTAATCATTTGTGAAACTTTAATATAGTTTTCATGATACCATTTTTACATCTTGACAACCAATGGGAATGAAACCTTTATTGTCTCAAAAAAACCGAACAAATTTTGTATGAAATCCAAGTGATCATGTCGTTAACCTTTAATCATTCTGTGAAACCCCAAGGATAAAGAGGTAAAAGTGACCAGAACAAACACCATGCACAGCCAGCCAACTAAAGCACTAAGGCCTAATCTTCCAGCTGACTAAACTTAAACATGTGAAGATCTGGATTAGAACAGGTCTTCAGCAACCCATGCTTTCCGTAAAAGGTGACTATGCTTGTAAGAGGCGAGTAACAGAATCGGGTGGTCAGGCTTGCTGACTTGGTTGATGCATGTCATCGTAACCCAATTGCGTGGATCGATGCTCATGATGTCAGTCACTGGATTTCCGGGTCCAGACTTGATTATTTACAGACCGCCATCATATAGCTGAAATATTGCTGAGTGTGGTGTTAAAGAACAATCAACAGTGACTATACCTGATGGACGTGGCTGATTGAATGTCTTCATATCGTGATGGCATGGATCGCTGATCACACTTTCAGTCACAGGTTTGTCTGGTCCAGACAAGCTTATTTACAGGCCACTGTGATACAGCTGCAACTGCTGTGTAAAACATTCACTCAAGTAATCTTCTTTTGGTTTGGTTTTACATTTCGTTTGTTTATTCGTCTAAACATAAAAATTGCACCCCATGGGCTCCTTGGTTGGGTTGGAATGGGTCCCCAGCAACCTTTGCTGGTTGTAAGAAATAACATAATGGATCGGGTGGTCAGATTTGGTGCCGTAGTTGATTGTGTGTATTTGTTGCCTGATAGCTCACTTTACTCATGGTATTAATCACTAGATTGTCGGGTCCAGACTCAGTTGTATAGGCTGTTGTCATATTGATGGGATATTGCTGAGTGCAGTGTTAGACAACACACCCACACATGCACACCCATGCGCACATGCTCACACCATGGACAGTGAGTGAGTGAGTATGGTTTTACGCCGCTTTTAGCAATATTCCAGCAATATCTCGGCGGGGGACACCAGAAATGGGCTTCACACATTGTACCCATGTCGGGAATCTAACCCGGGTCTTCGGCATGACGAGCGAACGCTTTAACCACTGGGCTACCCGACCGCCCCCCATTGACAGTATGATTGCCATGATAAATCTGATTAAACCAGTGACCTTCATCTGGCACAAATCTAAATGGTGGATAATAATGGCTTTCTGTAGTAAACCAAACCTTTAAGAAGTAAAGTTGACAAAATTGATGTTAGTAGCATTTTATGGTTTTGTTGGCTGTTGAAGCATGAAATATTTGATGTTGGCTTCACTATCAAGTATCTTCTTCAACATCTTGACATTTATCTCAAGGCAATTTCTTTTGTGTTTTGTCTATTCTCAGAACAACAGCTCAGAGTTGTAATGCCTGCATCAGAGAACTTGATAGGGCATGTGTTATTTGTTTGGGTAAACTGAAGGCATCTGTACATTATTCCAACAGTAAATGAATGGATTAGATAAATCTGTAGAGATAAACACCATGTTTGGAGAAATTGATTTAAGTTATTTGACCCCAAATACCACATACAGCTCCATTGCTATGTTTTAAACCCAAGGCTGTGTAAAGTAATAGCATATCTACGTTATTCCATTCAATAAAGTTAGTGAGTGAGTTGGGTTTAACACCACTTTTAACGGTATTCTAGTTATATCGCGGCATGTCAGCTTAATGTGGGAGGAAAGCCCGAAGTGATGCAGGTCTCAGATGTTTACCACTTCGGTGAAACCCACGAGCACGGGTATGGTGCTGACAAACCTAGAAACATAATCGGGACGAACCTGGATTCGAACCCACTATCATAGGTTTCTGGCATGTCCAAGGGACGCAACTCTGCACAGCAAATCGCGGCACCTTAGACGACTGGGCCACCCATGATGATGATGATGATGATGATGATGCCAGCAAGATCATTACCATCATGTTATTAGTTTTCTTGAGAGTATCATCTGAGATGATAACTTCTGTCTTGTCCACAACAGTTTCTAAGCAAGGTTTATCCTTGAAAATCATGGCATAGAAAAATAAGCAAACCAGTTGTAGCCTTTAACCTACCTGACTGGATTGAGGAACTGGCTCAGTTTCCCTTCAGCTATTCACTGACTACCCATTAGCCTACCTTAATGCCCTCCATATTACCTTCCCTAACCCATCTCCTTGTGACGATGGACGGCAGATAAACTTTTGACATGGAACCCATATTTGTTGATGGGCCACCTGTACAGATGAAACCATTATCTTCCCTACCATGATTAGGTGCAACAGCTTAACCCTCTGTGAGCTGAGATGGGCTGGTCTCATGCATGGAGTGAGTGAGGGAGGTTATTCTGCTTTTAGCAAGAATCATATACAGTAAACTACGATTATAACGAACACGCTTATAACGAAATGATGGATATAACGAACTTACTTTTTGGTCCCGACTACTTGCTGTAGTTATGCTGTATATGTGCTTATAACGAACTACGGTTATAATTAACTAAAATTAGAAGTCCCTTTGAGTTTGTTATAACTGTAGTCTACTGTACTTGCACAAGTCCATAAAGCAATAATTATTAGTTTAAATCATAATTTCTAGATTATATAAAAAATAAAAGAAAGTTGTCCCTTTTAAAGACCAGAAAAGGGGCACCGGGGTAGCCTAGTGTTTAAAGCCTTTTCGCTCATCGTGCCGAAAGACCCGGGTTCGATTCCCCACATGAGTATGATGTGTGAAGTCCATTTCTGGTGTCCCCAGTCGGAATATTGCTGGAATATTGCTAAAAGTGGCATAAAACCATACTCACTCACTTAAAGACCAGCATCTGCATATCTTTATCTAGCCTTGGATAGAATTACTATATACCATGGGCTTATCATTCAGTACAGCCTTGGAGCAAGGCTACAATAATCCCAACATTCTAGGTTTGTCAGCACCATACCCGTGCTCGTGGGTTTCACTGAAGTGGTAAACGTCTGAGACCTGCATCACTTCAGGCTTTCCTCCCACATCAAGCTGACACACCGCGATATAACTGGAATATTGTTAAAAGCGGCGTAAAACCCAACTCACTCACTCACTCACTAATCCCAACAGGGTACATGAAGAGTGGGCTTCAGATATGCTGAGAAGGGCTAGTCTTACACATGGAGTGAGTGAGGGTTTTACACTGCTTTTGCTTTATGTTATTTGTTCATATAAAAGTGACAAAACCCTTTCCATATTCATAAGAAATCACTACCGAAAGCAGAATTGATTGTATGATTCTGGTTTTTTCATAAGCATGTGTTTATGAATCACTATCTAATAGTGATGATACCAGGTGTTCGGAGGATAATCGTGACTGGCTACTTTCTGGTGTTGATGTTATTGGTATAAGCTCATTGGCTTGTCCAATTAACAAGAAAGTAAATCTGGTCTGATAACAAAAATAAAAAATTGAAACCCATGAACACATCAAAGAAACTCATATATGTAATACAGTAAACTACGGCTATAACGAACTCAAAGGGACCACTAACTTTAGTTTGTTATAACCGTAGTTCGTTATAAGCATATATACAGTATAACAATAGCAAGTAGTTGGGACAAAAAAATCAGTTCGTTATATCCGTCAGTTCGTTATAAGCGTGTTCGTAATAAACGTACTTTACTGTAATACATAATTATTAATTAATCATGTAATTATTTTGTTAATTTCTTTACATATGTGCCACTGTACACCAATGAATCTCACCACTTATATACACCGCATATATATATATATACAACCACAAAGGTAATCACAGTCGGACTCAATGTCGGGTATAGAAGCACTATCTGTTATTCATGCAACAGGATACATCTACTGACCACACATTTATATTTCACACAAAGGCACATACAATTCAAACAATTGAACAAAACTTCAACCCAACTCCTAATGACCCCCATACCCCCATCCAACTGATTCCTACGATCAATCAATGACTCCTAACAGTTTAAGAATGATAAAAATGTAATCAGTGTTTCAGTCAGTGTATTGTGGCAAGTTTAATACCTTCCCTGGCATTATACAGTAATGCTGTGTAAGACATTAACAAACCCGATCCTTCCCTCACAAACACCCATCTGCCACTGTTAATCCCAACCCTAGTAGCAGCATCCTGTCCTTTCAAACTCATACCTTAACACATTAACATAACTAGCAGGGTTTACTAGGGGAGATTTCTATTGTCAATTGTACACTTGTAGGTAAGCTGGAGGATGCTGGGGTCAAACCGGCATCAATGAAGAGCTGCTGCTGCAGGCTACGAGAGGTCCCACTTGCAACACAGTGACACTGTTGTGTGTATGGAGCTTCGATGTGATTGTGGATGACTTTACCCAGTTCTCGCAGTCAAGGTAAGATTTTTTATTTATTGAAATGTTTATTAGAAGTGGTTGAAGAAAAGCCTGTGATATGATTAGTTCTCTTTGGTTTTAAGATGTTGGAGCATCTGAGAAGTTGGAATATGTGAAAATACTCAAACATCATTTCACAATTAGAATACTTAACAGAACAATGCAAGGCAAGTTTAAGCTTACAGCTGGAGTTGTCAGGATAGGTAAATCATTTTGTTTTGGTTGGCAAATCTGACACAAACTATATGAAGAAATGGATTGGTTATAAAATTTCACGATTAATTATTTGTCTGTCTGCATGTCAATGAAGAATTGTATTCAAGTCATAACCTTCATAGAAGTGATACATGATGTTTCACCTGAAACAGAATTTGTGAGCACTGAGATTAAATGCTGAGTCATGTACAATTTGACAAACTCAAGTTCAGAAGTTTAGATCCAAGACTCGTAATGGTCTGTATTAGATACATTTGAGTTGAAGAAAAAGTGCAAGAATAAGTGGTGTGAGATTTTAGATTTTAATATCTTGCAAATTCCAGTCACAGGAATATTGTGATGGAGATGTGTCAGATAGTGTTGCATGATCAAGGTCAGGATGTCTACACTGGAATGAGCATGGGATGATGACCTTTGGTTGAAACAGGCTGAGGACAGGGTAACATTGTGACAGAAGGTTACACGACATGATGTTAAGTCATGACATTGTTACGAACCCCTGTGTGGATGCAGGGTTAGAATTAGTCTTCAGCAGCCCATGCTTGTTGTAAGAGGTGCCCAACATTTTGTTTTTGTTTGTTTGTTTGTTTAACGCCACACTCGGCAATATTCCAGCTATATGATGGCGGTCTGTAGATAATCGAGTCTGGGCCAGACAATCCAGTGATTGACATGATGAGCATCGATAGACGCAATTGGGATACGATGACATGCATGAACCAAATCAGCGAGCCTGACCACCGGATCACATTAGTCAACTCTTACGACAAGCATATTCGCCTTTTACTGCATGACTTATTCTACCCCGGATCTCAATCACTGGATAATCCGGTCTAGACTTGATTATTTACAGACTGCCGTCATATGGGTGGAATATTGTTGAGTGCGGCATTAAACAACAAAAAACAAAAACAAACAATGTTCCAACAATATCAAGCCCATTGGCTCGACACATTGTTCTCAGCTCAGGAATAGAACCCAGGATTTGGACAATCCGATCAACACTTGATTATCGATCACTTTCATGTTATCTGCAGGCAATTTCTAAATCAGTGATCAAGCAATTTCTAAATCAGATACAAAGACAGATACAAATTGATATTCAATGATAAAATAATTACCTAAGATCTTTACCTACGATTATGCTTCCTAAATGGTTTGGCTGAAAAGAACTCACCGTCAGTAGAATTATATTATGAATAAATATTTTGGTTTACGTGTTTAATGACACAACATGCCATGGTAGAAGTGGTGTGGAGATTCATCAAACATGTTGTACCTGGCACTGCTGTGTTGTTGTTGTTTCTTTTTGGCTATGTGAAGACGACTGTTTACATTTGGCAGTGCATCTTACTTCCACATCAGTTTTGCTAGATTCCTATCTTAATGCTAAATTGAGGCAGCTTGGCAACACAGCTGCAATCAAAGGTCTGACATTTCATTTGAAAGGTGTTCAAACATTGATGAGATCTAAATCTTTCTTTCCTCAGGAAAGTTTTAGACAAAAGATAACATAACTTGTTTTTGGTGACCACCCTTTCTCTAAAGAAACATTTGACAAAATTGGTCAACATTCTGCAATAAGATCTAGTAAAAAGATGTTATCACAAAGTTTTAATGGAGTCTGTCTTGTTGAAACAACCAACATTAGTTTCTGACATTAACATTGTCCCATCAACTGCAGTTTAAGCCATTAGCCAGAATGAAAACACAGCAGAGTATGTTTTCCTAACAATTAGTAAACGTACACTGCACTAAGGCGGCCATTCCCTTAAGATGCTTATTTCAGTGAAACTGATCACAGTGAAATTCTCACTCTGGCGTAATGGGATCAATCATGACAGAGACTGTTTGTCATTAAGGTGAAAGGTATTTGGTACGAGACAGTGTTTACTTATAAGTGTTTGAAAACATATTTCGAGACACTGACAATCTTTTGGAAGCACGTGCTTAGTGAAATCTCATTGACTGAAATAGACGCTGGTAATTTGTCAAGTTTGCTTAAGGGATGTTGAACAATAAGGTTTCAGCTGTCAACGGTTTGTGCATGATTGAAAACATAAAGTCATGCTTGTAGTCTTTCTTGAGCTCTTAGTTGATTTATTTTTCACTTTGAGTAACCCTTTTCTGTCAGGTTGTGCTGTGAGACTGTCACATGTAGTTGGTTTTAAACCTGACTTTGTTTAATGGGATTAGTCAAAGGGTAAACAGCATTTACAACATTGTTGATCACATTACGGTGAAACTGACTGGACTTGATTGAATTGACATGTTTAAATAGCAGCTTGTGACATTTGCCAGATCAGTTTCTTTTCATTTGTAAAACACTGCAGACTTTCTGAAACTAATTTCACATACGTTTAGAATCCAAAAAGAACAGTTTTCCATCTTATGTAGTTTCACATGTTTCTTTGGAAGAAATGTTACAATACATAAATAACTCATTGACAAGGGTCTTGTGACTGAGATGTCAACTGGAGATTTACATAGGTTGAAATTCTTCATTGAAATTGTTAATAAAGGGTTTGTGGATGGATGTTGTCGAAGATGCTGCAATACACTGAGTTGCTTCCCTTAGGGATGCCAGGAACCTAGGATCCTTGGTTTTGCCGAATGTTTCTAGGTTTGTCTGCTCCATAATTTGCTGGTGGATTTCAGCAAAGTTTCTTCAAAGTTTAGATGTTTCAGCAAAGTGGTAAACATCTAAAAACTGCATCATTAGAGTCTTTTCCTCCCACATTTTATTCAACTTAACTTTGAAAGGATTGGTAAACAGGCCTAACTGGCTTACACAAATACTGCCCCCTTTTACATCATTACACTTGTGGAGACATCAAAAGTTTAAGGTCATGATCTACGTAAATTATATAATGAGAAGACAAAGACTACAGTCATATACATATATTTATCACTTGCCCGTGAAGAGATCACCCGTTTAATAAACATACAGCTTTATTACACATTGTGTAATACCAAAACGCGTGCTTATGTACTCTCGGAACACGTTTCACGAACAAATATTGAAAGCTCTCAACATCCCTTGGCGTATTCAACGACATTGTGTGTGGAGATGATAGATCACTGGGAGGAGCTTATGCACACTCGATGACCCCAGCAACCTTGTTGCTAGGCTGACGTCACATGGCATTGTTTCGCCGATGGATCTTGCAACAAAATTCAACAAATTACGTCATCGGGTATTGTGACGTCATTGTAAACTTTGAGCTGCAAGGCCCCGTTCCACAAGGCGATCGTACTCTAGCGCAACGAGTCTTTAGTCTAAGTTAAATTATGTGAGTTGTGATAGCCCTAGCACTACGATAATTTTGTGGGACGAACGCCTGAATTCTAAAGGTGGACCATTGTATGATATTAAATGCATACGTTTCAACTTTTGACGTGTTTGAAGTATTATTCTGTTAAACTCAATTGGATTATGCCATGGATCGTGTAGGTGTCAGCCTATTTACACTCAACAGTATAATTCTAAAAACATAAATGACAAGTAATAAATAAAATACTAAACTCGCTCTCGTGTAAAACCAATTTTATGAAACTCGTGAATAGTTGTGGTATCTGACTCGCTTTCGCTCGTCAGATACCAGAACTATTCACTCGTTTCATAAAATTGGTATTACACGGGAGCTCGTTTAGTATTCTATATGTATATTATATATTTAAACTCAGTGTACAAACCTCCCACTAGTTTCTTTGAAATCATGGACAGACATAAATATGCTATGGTTGACATCTCTTGTTAACTTCCTGTTAGCATAAAATGCTGTTTTAAGATGAAAACCTTTTATCCTGTAGTACATAGTGCTTTTGATGTTACAATAGTTGGAACACTGATGAGGAAGTGAAAAGGAGACGCTAAATAATAACTGCACTGAGATGTTGCAATATTTGAAATATGCTTGAAATATCTCCTCCCATGTTAAACTCAAGCTGTGATATAACAGATATACTACTCACAGCACTGTCAAACCCGACTCACTCACTCACTATAGTATATATATTTATTAGCTACATATTCCTTTTGGAGGATTTTTTCCAGTTCATGGCATGATACATGGGAATATGTCTTAATATCAAACTATTGTTAATTGTCATTAATATGTAGAATTTATAAAATAAGAAAATCCAGAGAAACTGTTTTTTTTGCCAACATACAGTGGACAACCATGTAAAAGTGATGCTCATCTTCATTATCACCCAAACTGCAAAGCCATTTCTCTTAATATTAGGGTAAGAGGCGACTAACGGGGTCGTGTGGTCAGATAATCCAGTGATCGAGATCCGGGGTAGGACAGGCCTTCAACAACCCATGCTTGCAGTAAAAGGCGATTATGCTTGTTGTAAGAGGCAACTTACGGGATCGGGTGGTCAGGCTCGCTGACTTGGTTCATGCTTGTCATCTTTTCCCAATTGGATCAATGCTCATGATGTCAATCACTGGATTGTCTGGTCCTAACTTGATGATTAACAGACCGCCTTCATATAGCTGGAATACTGCCAAGTGTGGCAACAAACAACAAACAAACAAACTTAATATTCAAGCTACACATTTCTACTTGTTTCCATGAAGTGATCATTAGAATTGCTTCTAAAATACATCAACATTTTTTTTATATTTGTCAACAATAAATGTAAAAACCATAATACTCATCTTTTATTAAACACATACAGAAAAATGTCCAAATCATTTTTTCTTTAAATTCTACTTTAAATGTAAGGTGTATCTAAACCGATTTACAGCTACTCTAATTGTTTCAAGACTTAAA